CAGGAATAGTAATAGAATACTTATGGGTACTCTGCAAATTGTAATTTTTGTGTTATGTTTATATTCAGTACCGAAATAAACAAATAAATCAATGTGTTTGGTCGAATCATGACACGCTATATTCAAATCAATTTGGTTTGCAATAGAATAGTCATTATTTTAATAAAAATTGACAACTGATACTATTTTATTGATGATCTTAACTGTAAATGGCGTTTATGGTTTGTTTATTGGTCGGCATTTTATGTGTAAAAACCGTTTCGGACAAGTTTCCAGTAGGTGTCAATTTATTTCCAGATACTGTTTGTTTTTAGCGGTAGGTGTTAATTGTAGGTCAATTATAAGAACATTGACATCACCGCGGTGATTTTCTGTGACCGAGATTATAATTACAGGAAATTATCGTTCTCTTCGAATATACGTAAAGCGATTTCGTACGTAATGATTAATCACCTATATACGGCTTATCTTTTATTTATAATAGTAAACTATTAGGTATGCAAGTAATTACTTCAATACCAACAGTATCTCGAGTACTAATCTAGCCCGGGGCAATTCCTAATAAAGAAGATCAAAGACAATAACACTAAATTAAAAAAAGAGCGTGAGAGCAAAGGAGATTATAAACTGACCTTGTGCGTCAAAAGTTTATGTAATGGCAGGCATTTTTACCAATTGTTTTCTATAAATATTAATACAGCGCGACATAGAACCGTTTATTCTTCATTTTGTATTCTTCGATAGCGTCAGCTAAACCTTTAGCAAAATGCGGCATAAATGTTTAGATGTCTCCTCACCGATAGCGTTGATATGTTTGTATTTATTTGTAATACAACTGATGCGAATGAAATGAAATGAAAAATTTAACCATATTGCATTTTAACTTATGTATTGTGTCTAATCATTTCTTAGAACCAGATTTAAAACATTTTGATTTGAGAAACAGATACGATTTTCGATTTATAATTGGCACAATTAATAGGCAATCACGAATGTAAATGGTATTTGAAACAAAAAATTATGCATCAATCAAACCAAAAAAAAAAGCCCATTTATATATACATTTCTTAAAAATTTATATGCCATAAGTTAACGGCGAAATAATTGTTGTGTCCCAGTATCAGGGTTGCCAATGAGGTCGGCAAAATTACTAATTTCAATTGGATGGGGAGTGTCTCGTTGTCCTGGAAAATATTGCATCTTGCGTTCGGTGCTGTATATAATATTCCCAAATTAGAATAATATATAACAATTTAAGAAAAATTTCCACTTCAACAATTAGTTTTCAATCAATTTGTAATCAGATTTTGACAGTCAATAAAAATACACAGACGTATATACGGTGATATGCGTTGAAAGCGAATCGTTGAAGATTTTGATCAAAGTAATGGTTTTGTTCGCCCAGGGGTATCGTGTTTGGGTCCCCTATCATTTCAGATTCTCGTCAATGGTTCGTCCGATTACACTAACAAGAATATGGTAAAAAATTTTATTTAGCCGCGAGCCAAAGTGCAGAAACGATTGATTAGATTAATTGCAACGCTTACGTGAAACATTTGGGTAATTATAAAAAATTAATAGCTGAAGATCATAGATTAATAAATAATTGGTTCAAATTCTTTGTATGGGATTTTTGACTTATCGTAAAGCGAATGCTACTAAGCCCGACGTATTAGTAGTCAGAAGAGAATAAGAATAACTTCCTTCGTCGATTGAAAGATACGAGGTTCCGGTCAACCAGAGACAATGCATTTGAAATAATAAGTTGAATTTTCTCTTTGCCGTTTCATTTTCTTATTTCTAAGGCCAGCGCGGAACATAATATGTAGGTTTTGGGATGTCATCTACCACGTGGTAACAATCATATACTACAAGTGTCCGTCATTGGTCATCATTGATATAATAATAATTATTACGTTACGTTAGCAAAAATGGCAGAGAACAGCCCGTTTGTAAGGGTTAGGCAGGACCTCTGATGTTTGAGTCAGCAATTAGTTTTACATTTTTGAGCTTTTAGATAATGTAATTCTCTGTGTTGGAGAAACTTGAAATTTAATTTATGTATTATTTAAATGTAAAAAAATGTATTTTAGATGCTTCATTAAATTTTTTTGGCAAAATTAATGGTAATAAGTAGAATGTTTCAAACCTAAATTTGCTCTAACTCAAATAAAATATTTTTTCTATTCAGAACAAGTGTATAGATAGTATAAAATAGTGATTTTTTAAACGGAAATTTTATAAATCTAGCAATAGATTTAAGACACCTTGTGAGATCAGATGAAGAAATCTTTTTTGTGTGTATGGAGGTGAAAGTGGAGACAAAAATTGTGTAAATATGTATGAGCAATCTTATGAACAGGGGTTCTTTGAGATTAGGCATATCATTGGGACGATTTTTTTATGATTTGAATAATCATCGTAGGCTATATTAAAAGATTTTTTTTAGAATTTGGGGAAGTTTAGACAGTAACAAATATATTCCCTTTTTGTATAAACACACGGGGGAATGAATATCATTGCGAGTGAAGCCATAATTACTATTAAACGATTCGATTATTTATATTTGGTGAATCTTCTAATGAAAGGAAGTCCAGCGTGTGGTCAGTGGCTATTTTTAAAGTTTCGATAATAGTGGCTAAATATTTAAGAGGTAAAATTCCTTCGTTTCTTCGCGTTCGGTTAGATTATCGGACTCGCGTCAACACGCTCTTACAAACATCCCAACCGAGAAATCTGTCTCACGAATTGTATCAATCTCTTCCAGAATCTACTTTTTATTATTATTTTTGCTTGCAATTTTTGATATGCCTGATTTGATATGATTATTACGTTTAAAACATCTCATTTTCCGTGCAAAATTACGCGTCAAAGCCAACAATCTTGCAAATAAACACGAGTCAAACCCGTAATAAAAGATAATCAAGCAGTGGCGATTTTTTAACACTCGATAGTAAATTCGTTGAAATCACGACCGAAGAAAATATTTAATTGTCTAAAATTCATTCATTGTTTAATTGCGGCAGCCGATGTAAAACAGGATGTCGATGTTTTCACTTCATCTGAACTTTTTTTTCCAGATCGGACATATTTTCGTGGCGACGCTTTTGGAAGGACAAGGTCACGGATATTTAAAAATAAATTAATTTTGTTGGACAGTGTCTATAAGCCATTGGCGGCCTTGAAGGTACGTTTGTTTATTTTTTTTTCTGTATTAAATGTGTCGTTTTTGTCGGCTGAGATCATTCGGGTTTAATTTAAATAATGATCAAACGTCACTACGGCTAGGCGAGTGATTTTCAAATACCGATTAATAAAAGTCGTACTTTTTAAAATATCAATTTTATTGCGGATGCTTACATTGAAAAGGTTCTATTAACGTGCCAAGAAATATGTTTTTTGTTTTATCAAAATATCCGATTTCAAATTTTATTGCGCTCGTCAGGTGTTTTTGCCTTTTTTTTTGTAACCATCGGTGAAGTATGTAAATCTGCCGGGCAATAAAATTTCCTTCTCCTTTTACGGGGGAACAAATAGATATATCACGTTACTATCTTGTTAATAAATTGCAATTGGTAGTTTCATATATTTATATAATTTCGTACGACTTGAACAAGGGAAGCAACGAGACAAAGTTAAAGCCGTTAAACATTATTAAATGTTTTAAACTTTTTGCGAACCCAATCGTGCATCAGCCAAAACGGACCACACCACACAATTTAGGGACTTGCTAAATTAAAATCTCATCGTAAAAATGTTTTTCAAACTGTTTATTTTATAGACGTGCTATAAAAAGCGTGATAAGGGCGCGTTTACATAAAAGTCTTTAAAATTCCAACGCCACTGTCAAACTTCAAATATTTTCGCCATACAGTTTATTTATGTTAGCCATAAAATGCGCTTTTTAATTTCGGCTATTGGGATTTTCGTTGGGGGGAATCAGAAACGTATAAAAAGAAACGTCTTTAAGTCCAATTAAACCCCTCTGGAAGGAGCCAATAAAAGTTGATAAGGGTCTCGGTTTACACGAATGCGAGGACACTTTGTTTTTATGCGTCGCTTTTTGGGCAGCGTACTTTGTGTATCGATCGTATAAATGAGGTTTTAAACTCGCCTGTGCCTTTTTTTTATTTTAAAGAACCGAAATTTGCAAGGATGTTTTGTCACCTCACGTGTCCTTGTATTTTCGATCAAGTTATAAAGGGGCGGGACGAAAATCCTTTTTAAGCGCCATTTTGAAGTTAAGATTAGTACTAAAGCAGTTTTTTACGATACGCCAGACGATATTTATTCAAATTGGCGTGCGGGCATTAAAAATTCCAATCCGCAAGACGTGGACAAAACGAAGTGGGTGTTTTATATAGAACCCGTCCTACCAAAAATATATCTGTGGCAAGTTTAGCGATAAACATCACCGGGACAAGTTCCTGCGTTATCGGTTTTATTTTAACTCTTCCATATTGTAAATATGGAATACTGATTAAGGTTTGACGACTGCAGATACGCGGAGACGGTGTCGTTAATATTATAATTTCATCAAACGGGCTTTAAGAATCGCTGCCAAAGGTCAATGATTATAGAAAGTGATAGGAGGTGAATGTAGCACCCATTGAAGATGGAACTCCCTAAATAATAGATTCCAGAAATAGTACAGCACAAGTTGATTCTTAAACAATATCGCCCATGTTACAGATAAATTAAAAAAAAGTGCAATTTAATCCGTATATTACTGATTGTTAACTTTTTCTAAACATGAAATTGTCGATAAGTTGACCTACAATATAAAAATATACCAGAATTAAATAAAAAGAATATATTCCGGTAAAATATCGATTTTTTTACGTCAAACTCCCTACCTGTTCTGCGAGTTGTCAAGGCGGACAAGTTTCTTGTTATTGGGCATGTTTGGAGCTTTTAAAAGCTCAGCAGTATTAAAAATTCGCGTCGTAGAATAAGTGGTTTAATGAGTTTTTGATATCCGTTTAATTTAGTTCACCCACCTTGTATAATTTGTCTTTTTGATACCAAACGTCCTCTTCTTCTTCGGGTGGTTGAAACGTAGCGTCCATGTGAAGGTCGTCGCGTGACCTCGACAGAATCCGGCGTCTAGATACCATTTCCGACGGAGTTTCTGGTAATGGCAGTTGTAAATTTGGTATACTGCAAAAAAAGACACCATGTTAAAGGCAAAGCTACGCATTCATTTGCGTAAATCAACGCGTTAAACCTCGACGTGCGAGCCAACATCGAAAGTAAAAATACGCACCGGCCGCAGTCGGTCAAAAATATCGTAAAAATTTCGATTTCAACATAAAAAAGTTGAAGAGTTGCAGCTGACGTGAGTCGAAAGACATCTCGTGGCTCGTTATTAAAGTGAAAGTCCACCCGAGGCGATGGGTTCCATTTTAAAGGTTTTAAGCACCGTTTTTCTTTAAAATAATACCGCAGATAAATTAGATTTCACGTGGAACGATTAACAACAAATAGTAGTCGGCTTCGGAGAGTTTTCAACAAAAAGGCGCCTTCGTTGTTTTTTTTTTTGGCTGCACACGAAATTGTTAATGATAAGTCAAAAACGAATATAATGCAGTTAACAAAGTGCACTGAGAATATTTTTTAAAATTAATATACATTTTTGTCCTAAAAATATTCTAACATAAATTTTTCTGCCTTAAACATTATAACAAACCGGAAACTTTTCGGTATAAGATATACAATGTTATATATAGTTGGTAGTGACATAGATCAGATGAAATGTAGTATTAACAGTGATTTGAACCGAACATATGAACGGTTATGTAAACACAAACTTAATATTAACATTTTTGGGAAAAAACAAAAATTGAGTACTGTTAATAGAGAAAACATGAAATAAATAATGACATGCTAGTACACGAAAATAAAATTAAGTGCCTTCGAGTCATGTTAGACTCAGAATTAAAGCTACGACCGCATGCTGATTACGTAATGAGAAAATTTTCACAAAAAGTAGGATTTATATGTAGAATAGGCCATAGTCTTTCCATGTACACCAAATACCTTTCAATTAATTCAAAACAGAGCATTAAGAGCGATGTTAAAGTGTATTAGATACACTCCTGTAAACCTAATGTCAAATGTCGTTAATGCCATGACGGTTAAACAAGGAATTATTTATGATGCTAATATTTTTATGTAGAAGTTAAGAAATAAACTATTACCTGATTACATCTGTGATAAAGTAAAATATTTTAACAGCGTGCATAGTTACAATACGAGACACCGCAATGATTTTATTTTAGTAGATAGGTATTGCTCTAACCAAATGACAAATTCTATTCTGTTGTTCTCTCCGAAAATGATAAACTGCCAAATACCTTGAAAAATTGTGATAATTTCCATTATTTTTTAAACTATGTTGAGGAAATATGTGATGTCTAGATTTTAAGTATAAATCTCTGTTTCATCTTAATTTTGCTTTTATGTTGATCTCTGGTTATAGTTGTGCAGTTTGTTGGTTTTGTTTTTGTATGTAGCAACCCAAGCTAATAAAGAAATATTATTAATATTATTATTATTAAAAATTCCTTTAGTTTTTTTTCGTCTTGTTTTTTCTTCTCGATATTAATATACGAGTAAAAAAAGATAAAAAGCGCGGGGAATTCGTAAATGTGACGGACATTTCGTGGGAATGAAGACAGTTTCCGAAAGAATACGCAATGGTATTCAGTTCATACAAGAACGGAATATCGTAGGTATCCGAACCTACCTTGTCGTATACCGTTTCCATAGTCGTTTTTCTCATGATAATTCTTTCAAAAACATTTAACGAATAAGTAATGCAGGTGGGCCGGTCGCCGCGAATCTGCCTACGAATCAGTTAAACTGTTACGTAACTAAATACGTAAAATGACGTACATATATGTACACATGTTTTTACAATTCCGTTCACTGACAAAAGGTCGCGATTGTCGCTTCCGTAGGCGCAGAGGCGCCATTTTGTTTTTGTTAAAGCGTTGCAACGAAAAAATTTTTACAAAATCAAAATATCTTATATGTTCCTCTTAATATCGACAATTTTTCAGTTTTCTCTAGTAGCCCGGAAATCGAAATGTTATTATATCAGATCTTCTCTCTTGGACGAGTGCTCAGTGCAGGCGATGGAACGGTCATTTCTCAGAAAAAACTATAAACAATTTATTACAAAAAAACATATTTAACTTAGTTCTAAATGTACGAGAATTGCCCTAAAATTAGTTTAAAAAAAAGAAAGATGATATAATATTACATTTTATTTATTACTTTAAACGTTATAAATCCCTATTGCTCTCGTTTTTAGTTTAATTTAATTTAATTTTCCCTGTAAACCCACAGGTTATTACGTGGAAAATACATTCTTACATAACGTTTAGTCATTAGTCAAATAAAACCTAGGTTTATTAAGTGTCAAAAGTTAAAAACAACCTTTAAAAACAAAAATCCGCCAAAATAATTAAACATATTTTGTTCGATAAAATCGCCTTCGTGTCTTCCATCAAAAAATTACCAATTTTTTTTGTACATGTGGAAATTGCATTGTGTTTTCCGGGTTTGACATCAGTATGGGAACAACAAGTTTTTTTTTCAAGTTTCGCAATCTTTCTGAACATTCAAATTAATCTATTGCGTTATGCGTTTTCAAACCACCTACATTTTTTCTGATATCCTGCTCGTCTTAATGAGAATTCAAACGTCCCATTGTCTATCGTCCATATACCTACGAGAAATACGTGTATTGATTTTTTTGGGAGGGTCTGAATCGGAAAAAATCCGCATAACTGTCATCTATTTCGCCTTGGATCGCAAACAGTGAAAAGAACGCCTTTAGACAACCTTGAACGGTTTTCAAGATACGTTTCGATTTTCTGGTGCAAAAAAATGCCTGGGTGTGACGCGGACAATCTTTGATCAGGAAGACAAAAAGGACAAATCAAAGGTGTTGTCGCGTATAATTTGCCTCCACTCTAAGTAAATCGTTTTCTGCGCGCGAGCTTGCGAAAATGTCGCAAGAAATTCTTTCATGAAATTCTTTAGATTTTTTTTTGGTCCGTATTATGCAGTCACCGAGAAATCGATGCCTCTCGATAATGCTAGAGAGGACATTTATTGAATGTTTAAAACGGATAAATATGGAGACGGAATTGTTGTTGGTTACTTAAATAAATAAATAAACTCCGTTTAGTCATAATACCACTAAATTTAACGTAGCAATAGAATTAAAGGAAACTAACCAATCATTATACCACAGCTTTCTTTGTGGATATTTGCACCTTAAGTTCGCATCAATTTTGATTGCCAATAAATTAATATAATATTGCACTTTCAGTGCTATTTTTTTTATTTATTTATAGTTTAGCTTAAAAAGTAGTCATAAAGAGTTAAAAGCAAGTTTTGTATTTTGGAGTTTAATTTCAAAAATTAAAATAACGTTTTTTTAAATAGGTAAAGATGTTTTTCAGAAATATTTTTTTTTTAAAAACGTATTTGACCGGCATAACCAGATGTAATCGGAAGAGTTTTGTATATTTTAAATTCCAAAGTTCGTGTCATCAATTTCAGTGAAATCCGGCAACCCTGCAACAATATTTGTAAAATATGTATTATTATTTTTATTACCGAAAAATTTCGTACGCTAGTTTTCCAGAACTTTTAATAGCGCGTTTAGTAAGCCACTAAAGGAAGAAAATTTATAATTTTTCGTTGAATCAAAAAATAAAATATCCATACAAAATGAGAAAATTGTTGCCATTATCTTTTTTATCATTTGATGAATTATTGTATTAACGCGGAGGTCTGCTGAGATGTCGATGATGAAAGGGTTAAAAACCCTATAACGAATAATTTACGAGCGAATTTTCTAAGGTTTTTGGGAATCCCGCCACGCGATTCCCAAATGTTTATGACAAAGCGGAACAAGTGATGACGCACCACAAATTTTTAGTTCGCCAAAAACCCATGGCCGGTATTTCGAAATACATTTTTTTATACCGGGGCGCTTTTGATTCTCGTCAATGTTAACAATACGGAAAAGTTTTGTACAGTTTTAAAATTTTATTTTTGTTTTATGTCATTTAAGAAGTTTGTCTAAAAAAAAAGAAAAACGTAGGCAGTTGCTTTTTCCTTTCCTGGTGCTTAGTAAGGTCAATATACTGTATGTTACAAATTTGCCGCGCGCACTTTGTCACGCATATTTTTTAATTTTAGATGGTTCCTGAAAGTGGCAATCTGTGGCCGATAGTTTTTAAACGCAATTATTTCAGCGGTTATCGCGTTGTGAAAAAAGCTCAATATTAAGACGATACAAAATTGGATTTAATCTATTATAGCATATAATATGTGCGAAGAAAACTGTAACGTTTTTATTCCCCACAACGTTCTACCGGACTTTAAAGATCGGAATTTAGACTTATTAAATAATTCCAAAAAAAAAGTACCAAAATCGATCACGTTCTTCAACGGTAGAGGATTTCGTATTATTCGGTAATGTCATTGATCTCTGTCTTTTTAAGCTTCTTTTCGTATATAAGTCAGCATTTACGAAGATAATCGTCGGGTTAAGTGTTGCAAACTGCGTAGGAACCGCCGAATTATTAGCAGATTCGGGAATCCGCCGACGTATGTGTTTCGTATTTTTATTGCTATAAATGGAGCATCTCGTAAGATGATTTTTGCACGTCTAAACCGTGTGTTCGTATAAATATCTATATGCGTGATTGCGAGAGAGTATGTGAAAAGGTGAAACTGTCTTATTTAGCCTTGTGAAGACGAGCTACCTCAGTGGCGTTTCGGTTAAGATTTCGTTTTACAATTTAATACGCCGATTTCCTGCATTAATCATCGTTTATTTAGAATTAAAGTTACGCCACGGCTGAAACAAATTCGCGTTGGATTTGCAAAGGTATAAAAGCGGCGTTTTTTTCTAATTTTTAAGAAATATTTTTTACGCGCGACGCTGATTAGGAAAATGCCAACGCAGATGATTCTGTGTCGCTTGTTTTACATAAGTCCGGTAATTATAGCCGTAGGAATGGAAATTTCTTTAACATTAGGAAGCGAATTAAGCGCCTTTTAACGTTTTAATAGATTTAAATAACTATTTATGAAAATCGATTTTAAGTAGAATTGCAGCAAATTTGTCAAAC